AGTTCTGAATATGTTGATAAGTTTTAACATTATATTTCCAAAATGCTTGTTTCCTGATGGCATATTTTAACATATGCATTTCTGAGGTAAAGAACAGTACACTTAAAACAATTTTATTGCATTTCCTTTAGGCTTTAATGTTATTAGTTTTTATAATTTCATAATAATTTTTCTCTTTTATTGTTTCTCAGACTATTTTTCACACTGCAAATTTTTTTGTAACATTTCTTTTAAATGCTTTTCCAAAATTAAATCATAGTTTAAAAATAATATCTGAATATTATGTCAATTATATAAAACTGATAACTTACAAATGATACAGTAAATTATAAGGGAAATTCTACATATACAATATTGATCACTGAGCTTCTATTACAAAATTTAATAATAAAAACAAGTATTAAACTCAATAAGCAAGATTTAAAAGAATTTGGAGTGGAAATCTACATAACTTTTTGGTATCAAAATCTAGTGTCTTAGAGTAAGTTACCATAAAATATCAATACACATAAAATGCTTCAGCAGGAAAAATTAAATAATACAAGCTATTTAATTTTCTAAAAGCTGTTTATAAAAATTATAACAATATGCACAGAATTTTATTTATTTTTCTAGTAATATAACTATATTAAAAGAATAAGAATAATGCATAATAAAAGATATTCACAGGATTTCATTAATTATTTCCATGCTATCTTTAATTATGCCTTTTGTATTTCCTTTTATCATCGTAATCTAATATGAAGTGCATGCCAGATATTTAACCATCTGAATGTGTTCCAAAAATAGATAATGCCGTATACAGGTTAAAAAAAGCAGTATTTATAAATAATTTGCATAGTACTTTTAGATCACAGAAAAAGAAAAAAAGTTTTTTGATAAATTAACAATGTAGAATAAAAAGTTCACTACCAGAATGAGATCCAGGGGATGTTGGCTGTGCATTTTCAGAACCCTTAGGCTTCACATCCAATAGTTCAGGTTTTGCATCTTGCATTATCCTTTGTTCTAAGCCTTTTAAATTTCTCATTATGATATTTTTTCCAGTAGAAAATTTACTGGCCAAACTGGAAGGGAAAAACATCAAGACAAATTTTAGTTAAAGAAAATATATTATAAAAAAAGTTTTATAGTACATTTTAAATTATATTTATGCATGGATCATGAGAAATAACACTTAATATAAGAGACTAATTGATAAAGTTTCTTTTTTAAAAAAAAAAAAAATTTAATACATAGAAAAAGAAAATTCATGAAAGTTAAAAAAAATCTTTAATTTTAAAAATATGCATTAATCTGATAATTTTCAAATATATAACACAAAACTAAAATGTATTATTTAGAAGAATGTTATATATCAAAAAATCAAACTATACCTAAGGTATTTACAAAAAAATCAGAACAATAAAGTAATGTATATGCGAAAAGTAATGGCAAGAATTTTGTTTTAGAGCAATAAATTTGAGATATTTTTACAGAAGGTGTTCTTAATCCATGAGACAAATCAATTTACACAGATATCTGACGTATGTATAATTACACAGATATC